CTATGCAAGGACTTGTAACATGCATGTCAATTTAGGAACCTACTTAAACGTGTAAGCGACATTTTCAGTTAGGGACTGATCGTTTGATTGTGTTTACTTTCTAAACAAACGTAAATTTATTGTGTTTATTAAACATCATATGATATGGTATTGTAATTGCAAAGTAATAAATGTCATTCTGTTTGCGTTTGTGTATACAATAATAGTAAAAATATGTTTGATTATAAACAGAGTAACACAAACACAATTATTTATATTTGAATAAATCGAGTCCTTAGCCTCTAAAACCATGCATAAATAGAGTCTTTAGTCACTAAAATATGTATTATATATTCTTTAAAAAAGGAAAATAACTTACTAAAACAAAAAAGGGTGGGAGACCAAGCTTTTAAAGCCCTCAACATCCACTCCTCCATGCATGCAACTACAATAAAGATTCATGTCTCTTCATTTTTTTTTTTTTGCCAGTGTCTCCAATTTATGTAAATATTGTACCATAAACTTCTTTTTTTGAGGTCACGTACTACTAAATTTTTAATTTCATAAATTGAAATATATAAAAAAAATAGGAAAAAAATGCGTTTGAAAGCTACAACTAATCATTAACACAAATTAAACTACCTGGTTAGATGGAGAATCATAGTTCTGAGTCCTTAATCACTTAATATAATTTTTTTTTTCTTAAATAAATTAGTTGTTATTTCCTGGTGGAAGAATTAAATATTCAGTACTTGTCTACCCGTTTTCATTGAATAATTTTGAACCGATTATAAATGCAAAATTCAAGTATATATATGCATTGAAGTATATATCTACTTGTCTATAGAACATAAATTAATTATCATACATTTGAATTAGAAATCTTTGCGCTCACAAATTTTATATCATATTATTTTATTATAGAGATATTTTAAGTTGTGTTGTGTGCATGTGAAATTCTAAAACTCACACCTATAATTAGACAGTGGTTAATAGAAATATATTTTACTACAACCTGTGATGGTATATACTCTAAATTACAGCTTCCAATGTTTTTGTTTGTGTGGGTGGATCCATGCAATTCAGTGTCAAGATATATTCACGTGCGCAAGGATGAAAGACCTCTACGCATTGCTTTTGAGTTTTGACCCTTTTGTGCCATTTTAAGTCGTCTCGAATCTTATGGTGTTTTAGCCTATCGGCTTCTGTATAACATTAATGATTAATGTAATGTAAAATAGTCAACAACATATAATAAGATAAAAACAACTTATAATGTAAAGTTTAGAAGAGTAAACAATTTTATTCGGAAACAAAATGCATGCATGTGACGATGAACATTAAATAGGGTATATGTTCTTATTGATTACGGTTGATTTGCCCAAGAATTAGGTTTGAGAAGATATTGATCATGTGAAATAAATGCATCACCAATAAATTATGTCAAATAAAACTTTAAATGCAATGAAAATATATTCGACTTTTGAATTGTCTGCGGAAAAAAACATAGATAATAAATGGACTATTTTTGGTTATCCTTATCATCGGTTTTAATATTTTATTTGATCAAACTATCATAGGTATTTCATACAATAACATACAGTCTGGGGAACTTTAAATATAGTGTTACAAAAATATATAATGACGGATATATACAAACTTAAACCAATTCTCTCTCCGTAAGTTTTATACTATTTAACATCATTTGAGTTCGAGTGAATTTGAGGACTTTAAGATTACTACCAACTTGTAGTTTTGGGGGTTATATTTTCATTGGGATCGGTGACTTATAAGAGGCTTAAAATGGAATAAACCTATTTCAACGGCTTCATTGAATACATATATAGCCTTAAGTCTCCATCTTTACATGTTGCTAATTAATGTAACCATAACAATAATTGGATACTTTTTCTATGATGCATTTTTTTTTCCACAAGACCACAACTGATTTTCAAAACTAATGAAGATTCAATTGAATAGTCGCAAATTAGGCTATGATTGGGCCTAAAATCCCATCTAAAATCATTATTATATGAACTGAGAATATATTCTCACTTTATTCAAACGGGCCTTCTAAATTTTTTCTGAATTTATTTTTGATATCAGTATGCATGAGTATCAAATACTTCAGTTTTCAGAATCTCTTACCTTATAAAACAGAAATTAGAGAAAGATTCCTAAAATCATTCCCATAATGACACTTCAGCTTTTTTATTACGTGTCAATTTCTCAGTTTTTTGGTTTTCGATTTTAATTTATCT